GGGAGCTGTGGATGGAGCTGCAAATCTATCCAGAGGACTGTTTGCCAATAGTATTAAAAGCCTTTACATATGTACAGACTCAGCGTTTCCAGCCCCAGAATTTGTAACAAAATGATTGTGATGTGTAAAAAGATTTAGCCTCAAAACCGTACATCTCAGCAGTGTTATCACAGGGAAAAACGGGAAGCAATCTAATAATTCCAAAAGGAGAAATTGGTGAAATGCATCGTTCTACATGCATATGAGAAATATTAAACAGCTATTAAAAAGCATGCTGTGAAAGACTCGTAGGGAAATGTTCATGGCATAGCTGTTAAATGAAAGGATTACACAAAGTATGTACAGGGACAACCCACTTTGAGCAAGACTGGAAGTAAATACACTAAAATATGAATTATAACTGTATCTGATGGAATGTCAGTGTCAGAGTGTTTGTTTAGCACAGGGCCCTGGAACACTACCCTAATTCAAATCCTGGCTCTGTCAACTGCTTGGTCACTTTAGGCGAGTTTCCTGATCTGTAGAACAAGCATAGTATCAGTTTCCTTAACTGTAAAACTGGAAAATGATTCTACTTACCCCAGACAGTTGCTATAAACACAAAAGGATTTAATATTTGTAAGTGCTAGGAACACTGCCTGGCACATAATTGAGTGAAATAAATCAAATCACCGCATAAGTGATTTTAAACATCTTTGGATGGTGGGATTATAGATTTTTATTCCCAAATAAATTGGAAGAAATTTATTTTGTAGACAGTTTTTTAATAAATAAAAATTCAAAGGCAATTGCACTGAAACTTGACAGAATGTTTCAAATGTTAAGAATATCAAGGAAAATTCTAAAACAGAATAATGAGGAGGAACTAGCACTACCAACTATTAAAACCTGCTATGATGGTTCAAAGTAATTATAGGAAGACTTATTGAAATACTAGATAGTTTAGGCATAAAATAATTTTAATGTGATGTAGGAAACATCATAACACGACAATGGAAAGGAATTCAGTACATACTGTTAGGATAACTAGTTAGCAATTTGAAAATAAGCAGTTAAGTATAAAACCAGATAATAACCAAAATGGAAAACAAAATTAAATATCTAATACCTGAAAAGAGAATACGTATTGGCTTAAAAGCAATAAAAACCATAAAAAGTCAACAGATATATCTATATAAAGATTTTAATTTACTTGTAAAAATAATTTTTTAAATATGGAAAAATAGTTGTTAAAATATGGAAAATGGTTATATTTAAAATATAAATAACTCTGATAAAAAAAGATAAGACCCCCAATAGATAAATGGGCAAAGGAACTGAGTAACAAAAAAGGAAATACGTCTAGAAAGTGAAAAAAAAAAAAAACTTTAAGCTCACTTTTATAAAAGGGGGAAAAGGCAAATTAAAATATATTAAAGTATTATTTTCACCTTATCAAATATCACTTTAAAAAGTGTTTTCATACCTAATTCTGGCAAGGGTAGGATGAAAATAGTTCTCTCCTACATTACTGGTGAACTTATAGTGTAGAACAATCCTTTTGGGAAACAATTTGGCAATATAACAAGAACTTTACAAAAAATTCCTAGATTCCCAATAATCTGACTCCTGGGAATCTGTTCATAAAGAAATATGGGCCGGCCCGGTGGCGCACTGGATAGTGCGCCGCTTGGGAAGCGCGGCGGCGCTCCCGCCCGAGGGTTCGGATCCCACGTACAGACCAGTTCCCGCTCACTGGCTGAGCGAGGTGCGGGAGCAACGCCAAGGGTTGCAGTCCCGTTGCCGGTCCCGGTACGGGGGCAACACTGAGGGTTGCGATCCGTTGCCGGACACGGAAAAAGACAAAAAAAAAAAAAAAGAAATAACTCAAAAATATAGTGCGGCAAGGGGAGAGTTGAGGGAATCATGATTTTCAACCTTTTCTGAACATTTGCTTATACTCGCTAAATATTATCTAAATATTTGCTAAATAGTATCTAAATAACGATCAACTTAAATATTCAAAAATTGGACCATGATAGAACTATCCAATGATAGTCCATCTTAAAAAAAGATGGTTATAAAGACTGAGTAGCAACATGGAAAGTGATTATGTAACATTAATTGAAAAAGTAATAGTAAATTTTATGTGTAGGCATACTGTTACATAACTATGTACATAAATGGGATGTTAAAAACCAAAACACTAAAAATTATAAACATGACTAGTGAAATTATAGTTCTTTTCTTCCATTTAAATATGAGGGGTCTTCAAAAAATTCATGGAAAGATTCATATTATCTTTTAATTCCATTTTCCCATGAACCTTTTGAAATACACACATATATGTCCCAAATGCGTTGCGATTTATGGAGATTAGTTTAATCCCTCAAAAATTTTTCGCGTATGAATGGAAGCTCAGAGGATCTGCTTGGATCAATTTGGAGATATAAAATAACCGTCCATTTCCATCGTTAGGCCCAGGGACAGGAACCAAGCTGGACATTAGAGGAAATACAGAAATTCAGATGGACAGAGGAGGAAAAGGACCTCCCAGTAAGAGCCCCAGCAAAGCAATGGAGGTGGAGGGTGGCTTGCTCCAGGAATGGCGAGCCCCTCCACCAGACCAAGACAGCCTGTTTCCAAAACTATGTTTCTCAGAACAGCTATTTCATGAGATGTTCACATGAAAAAACACAAGAAAGTGTTCTATGGTCAAATAAATTCTGGAAATATGTAATCATACTCTGTCTTGAAGAGTTACAATACATATTAACATATTAAAAGCTCTGAGAAATCCTACAGGAAAGAAATGTTTGCATTTATTTCATCTAAAGTTGCATCAACAAATTGGACCATAGAAACACCACCACCACTTTTTTGTTGTTTCAACCTGGGGGAGATGCTTCAGGCTGCTCTGGAATACAGGCCGGAGCTCATAAAGATGAAGGGAGCAGAGAAAGGAGGGCTGTGACACTGTGATGAGCTCTGAGTTGTGTTAAGGAACTTGAACTTTTCATTTGGAGAGTAATGGACCCCAGTGTGGTTTCAGAAAGCTGCCCTTGGCAGCCACATGGGAGACCCTGGGGAACCCTGGAAGCAGGGTTTCAGCCCCTGCCTCATTCCCTGACCTGCTCCTTCCCCAGCTCCCCACAGATGTATCTACCAGTGTTCCTACTCATTGGCTAGGCCTGTCCTAATGCCTGAGCCAGTCCTGATCAGGGCAGGAGGTACAGCGAAATCAGGAGCTTTGGGCTTCAACATCTCCTGGGGAGTCTGTGACAGTTTTGCTATCATGGGGTGTTCTATCCAGGGTGCCAGGATGAGCCCCGTGTGCCCATGCAGCCTGAGCCATAGCAGCTTTCCAGTCTCTCCCTTCCTAGTCCAAGAGAAGAGGATTTTGTCTCAGTTTTCCTGCCTGCTGAGCCTGGAACCCTGTCCTTATCCTCTGTCCACTTGTTTTTTCCTTCCTCAGGGGTCTGTTTTCAGCTCCCTACACTCCATAGGCACAGGTGAGCAGGTCACCCAGAACCATAACACCACTGCTTACACAGCATGGCACCTCCATTCACCCAGAATCTGGGCACATTCTTGACCCCTTCCCTCTCCAAGGTCCTGTTGATTCTGCCCGCTGAATGCCCCTCAAACCATTATCTTCTTTCCATCTCCCCTGCCACTGCTGCAGACCAAACCACTCCAGCCTCTAACCCAGACAATTGCAACAGTCTCCTAAATGAGCTCATTGCTTCCAGTTTCTTGGCAGTCAAGTGATCTTTGAAACATACAGATCAGATCTCATTACTCTCCATGGGATCACTAGCTCCAGCATATTAAGGATAAAGTCTTCAAATTCTTAATGTGCCTGAAGATGCCATGCCCAATCTCCAGCCTCATCTCAAACACGCCTTCTCCCCACCCATTCTCTGAGCTCCAGCCACAATGGCCTTTCCCTTTCTGAGGCCCCTCCAAGACCCCAAGCCCTTTTCGTTGCCTCAGAACTTCCCCCATTGACACATTGACACACCAGGCCTCCTTGTTTGGAATGGTGGTCTGCCCATATGAGTTTGCCATACCCTTGGCCATAGTGCTTTGGACAGCAGGATGCCCCCACTGGGTGCCTGTAACCCCAGTCAGTGATCACAGTTCCCCTCCTGCTCACCTCCCTTACCACCCCCATGGTTGAGGTCCCAACATGACCTGCTGGTGAGCCGGTCCCCTTCAGACACACGACACCAGTGAGGTGGCCACTACATCCTCTGGACCCTGTATCCAAGATCCTTCTGTAAGCCAAGACCCTTCTGTAGCAGGGGACAGTGGAAGGAGCATAAGCTTTGCCTTTGACAGTTCTGGTTTTGAACCCTGGTTCTACCACTTATTAGCTGTGTGACTCAGCAGGTTGCTTAACCTCTCTGAGCCCCTTTTCCTCCTTTATAACATGCAAATAAAGACACAATAGCGCAGTAGTTAAGAATGTGGGCTTTGAAATCTGACTGCGTGGATTTAAATCCCTCTCTCCTCTATATACTATCCATGAAGCCTCTCATACGAGCTTCAGTCTCATATGGAAAACATAGGGATAATAACCATATGTACCTTCCATGTTGTGAAGATACAAGGGTACTTCAAAAAGCTCATGGAGAGATTCACATTATCTTTTAATTCTGTTTTTCCATGAACTTTTTGAAGTACCCTCATATTGCAAGTGCTTAGCACAAGTGCTAGCAGGAAGCAGTCAGTGGCTGTAATTACTATTATGGAAAGCATGTGGCACTGTGTTTGACACATTAGGGGGACTCAATAATTAGTTCACCACTACCTCCTCTTTTCCCCGAGTGAAGCAGGATCGATATGCCACCAAGTCTTTAGGACATGAAGATTTCAACTCAGATCTCATCACAGGTCTACATGGGGGCACACTACCCAACATGGCAATGTTCACGACCCAAGAGAAACGGCTTCCTTCTTATAGGAACGTTGCTCAGCTGAAAGATCATTTACCCGTGACAAGAAACCAGTCAGTGTGGAGGAATTCTTTTCTGATGATTTACTCATTCATAAAAAGTTCTCAAGGTACAAAACGACAATGAAAAAGGTGTTTTCAATAATGTGGCCTGGCAGAGTGCGTCTGAGAGATGTGGAGCAGCCAGCCACACCTGTCAACACGGTTGGCCTCCCTGGGGTCAGCATCCACCAGGAAAGCAGCCAGGGAGGGTGGAAGACAGGAAACCCCCAGCAGCATGGGGCCAGAGGAGGAATAAAGAACTGGCAACTGGGGACGGGGGAGATACAGGGACCAAGGAGGCTTGAAGCCGGAGAGCAGAGGCTACAAGTCAGTGTGCGGGGGAGGGTGGTGGGCGTGGGAGGAAAGCAGGAAACGAAACAGAGGAAGGAGCCCTGCTAACTTCTCCTCTGAGCCACTCTCCGTTTAGACAATGGATAGTTCCCAATTCTGCACCAAGACCACGTGCCCTGGGGGACTTGCCCACCTCCTGCCTCTGGGACAAGAAACAGGCTGCCATGCAGGGCACAGGGCATCATGAAAATGTCTAGGAGGACTAGATTTGCATCTAGGGAGTGGTCTCCATGAGCCACAGCATGGAGCCCTACCGCCACCGTTGTGGTCTTCTATCTGGTTTTAGCAGATCTTGTGCAAAGAGTATTCATAGCAGCTGTAGGGAAGAAGCAGGTAAGGCTTGGTGGACTGCTCTCTCCAGCTCCAGAGTGGAAGTCAGTGGAAGAAATTCCCAACCGTGCACGGAAGGTGCTGGCAGGCCTGGAGGTGTCCTCATCCCTCTAACCTCAGTCATCCTGGAGAAATCCAAGGGGTAAAGAAAAGAGATGTGAATAGAGCACATTTCATTTAAGTCTTCTTGGCTGGCCCGTTAACGCACTTGGTTAGAGCATGGTTCTGATAACATCAAGGTCCAGGGTTCGAAGCCTGTACCAGCCAGCCGCCAGAAACAAACAAAAACAGAAAACATCAAAGTCTTCAACAAGTCATTGGACCAACAAGGCTACAACCAGGTGGTACCAGTGGGCCCTCAGCCACCTGCCTGACCTCACCTCATCAGAGCTGGCCCTGGGAACTGGCCTGGCAGCTCCACCTGTTCAGTCCAAGACTCACATTATTAAGACAAAAGAGAATCCAGACATTCTATGCTACCTGTTGCTACTTTCTCTGGCAAAAGCCATCATCTTCATCACCTAGGTAAATAGCCCATCTTTCTGTGACTTCTTTGCTTTAAATGTCCGATTTGGTGCCTTTTGACATCAGTGCAAATCCTCAGGTGAAATACACTTCAGAAACACGACTGTGAATAGGTTGAGGATCAACTTGGGGGCTCGACCTCAGCAAACGACCACTAGTAAGGACCAAGTCAGTCATTTTCTGGTCATCTTGGGCAGGGAGCCCAGACCAAAGGAGAAACACTTGATGTAGAAACATTTTGAGACTTAATGACTACCTCTGGATCCCTCTGCACCCCTCCTTCCCATCACTTGTTTTTATAAATCTTTCGGCTTCATGTAGGTTGGCATAGTTTAGACCCATCAACAGGTAAGGCCCCAGGTTGTCACCCTTCATACCTTGAAGGAATTTTCCTCATGCTAACATACTCTCAAGAATTCCACAGAATTCCACCAAAGCTGGGGGTAAGATTTATTCTGCAGTCTCCTCATCCTACCCCCGACCACAACCAGTATGTACAACCACACCAAGGCCAGGTACACAGTTGTCCCCTTGACCTACCCACTCCTCATCCTCTGCCCCATCCCCCTGCTCTCGGAGCTCCACTGTGGCCCCCTCTGAAGATTTTTGGGCCATGATGTTGTCTGTCCAGGACGCCCCTGTCTTTCCATCACCAGCGAAATTACACTTGGTCACTGTTCCAGCCTCAAGTTTGGCTATTGAATCTGAAAGAAGAGAAGAAGTTGAATGTCCTCTCTCCCTGTGGCAGAAATATAGTGGAGGGTAGGCCCCTGCTGGTGAGGTCCCCAAGGCCTGGGTCAAGCCGTTTTTCTCTCCAGGTCTAGGTGTGGTCATTGAAGCCCTGGGTGGTACTACCAAGGCACTAGACAGGAGAGGTCATCCATAGGGACTATGGGTTTTGGTGTCGCCCCTGGATCCAGGATGTTCAGTCTAATAGTCCCAGGACACTTGTTCAGGGTTTTAGGAATAAATCTCAAGGGGTTGGTCATGTCCCCACAGAGGCCAGAGCTGGCCTGCTTCCCTGAGTTCTTAGCAGGAGGGGTGGGAAGCCTCGGAAGGGAGGACAGGAGCCCCCACAGGCCACACAGGAGCACCGGGCCAGCATGAGGGCCACGCTGCTCACCTAGGAAGGGGCCATCACCCCGAGTTTTCAGCCGTACACCAGTCCCCAGCTTGAGCTCCATTGCTTCCATCTCCACCTCAGGCATCCAGAATGCCACTGTGTGCTTGGGGGTGAAGCTCTCTGTCAACGCCAACAGCTCTGGCTTATTCACCAGCCCCTTCAGAGCCTCGGGCGTGAGCGTGTCGCTGTCCCCTTTGGCTTCCAGCTCTGCAGGCACACAGTGCAGGAGGGTTATCACCCCATAACAAGCACTTATGGAGGGTTCTTTAGGAGCCAGGTGAGGGCTGAGTGTTTTACATGCCCACCATGCCCGTAGGGTAGGCCTCTCAGGACCCATTCTGCAAGTACTCATCAAGGAACCCCACAGCAGAGAAGTCATGGGCATGGGTTCCGGAGCCAGACTGCTGGGGCAAGTCTAGGCTCTCCTGTAACTTGGGCAAGTTACCTTCTCTGTACCTGAAAAATAGGGTAAAATTGGACCTACCCAATAGGACTGACATGAGGTGTAAATGAAATAAAGTATGTAAGGCACTTAGCACAATGCCTGGCACATAGTAAATCCTCAGTGACTGTGAATGTGTTTTTAGTATCCCCACTTTACAGATGGGAAAACCAAGGCTTAGTGAGGTTAAATAATTAGCTCAAGGACGCACAGCAGTGGAGGCGGCAGCCCCACTTCCCCACAATTCTGCCATCTTACTGAGACCCGAGTTATCAGGCAGGGTTCTCTCCAGGCCCTCAGGGTCTTCCTGGCTGGGGTGGGGTCTGCTGGAACCTGGAGCAAACTTTGCTAGTCCACATACTCTCTCCTGGCCTGCTCATCCTGGCCCTGGCAGAGCTCATGGGCTCAGAGAGAAACCCAAGTCCTAAATCTGCAGAGGCCAGGAAGTTCCCAGACTAAGAAGTGAGGCCCAGCCTCACAGGTAGGGGGTGCCACAAGACCTCACGAAGGTGTGCATGGCCACACCCCTGCAGGGCAAACTGGAGCTTGTCCGACAGGCTGCCTTCTCCACACCAACCCCCAGGTGGCCGCACTCTGCTGGAGAACATCCCGGCCAACCCACAAACACCTGGCTACATTCCATTAGTGGTGGATAACCTCAACCAAGCTCTGTCGCGGACACCTTCTGGGATTCCCGTGACACCTTGCTCACAGAGAGGACTGTGCCCTGACCAGTGTTCCCCAGACAAACCACCTTACCTGCTTAGCAAGATAATAGAAGTCATCAGGTGGGGCTGCTCTCTTCCCTGACACCACCTACCTGTCAACTTACCTCTAACCACACAGAACCTCTCCTCCTTCCCTTCTGTCTCAAAGGATGAGATGTCCCTCCTCCTGCCTCAAGCCAGTTTCTCCATCTGGGCTCCAGACTTTCCTGGAGGGCCTGCCTCTCCCTCCCCACTCCCTGGTCTTCCTCAAAGCCTTCCTGCATTCTGCCTTTGATACCCACTACTGCAGATCCCCTCCCCCCACACCCCAAGTCACCAGTGAGCTCTTCTTCAGCACCCGGCCCCACTGCTAGCTCCTCACTCCTGTTCCCCTTGGCTTCACTGGGCTCCCCATCTCCCTCACACCTCTCCAATGGTTCCTGCTCCTACTCCTGCTGGGACTCTTTCCCCACCCACCTCTTATTATTGCTGTTGCCCAAGATAACCTCCTGGGCCCACTTCTTTTCTCCTCCTGGGTAGTAACTTCCTCTGTTTGCATGGCTTCAATACTCTCAATGGGCTGATTGTTCCCAAATGTGTGCTGCCAGCCCAGCCATCTCCCCACGTTCTAGAACTGTACCTCCAAGTCCCCAATGGAAGTGCCACTGGCGACTCTAACTCAGTGTGTCCCAAACCAGAGTTCTTCTCCTCAAACCTCTCCTCTTTCACCTCCATTCCCCCAAGCCTGGAGCTCATGCCCAGCCCCTGGGGTCATTCCTGATTCCTTCCTCTTCCTCCGCCATCCAATCTAACACTGGGGCTGCCTCTTCTACCTCGGATTGGTCAAGTCTCTCCATCTCCACTGACTGGTCCTTAATCCTGGCCTCTTATCTCCATCCTAGGTTACCAGAACAGCCTCCCAGCAGGCTTCCCTGGTCTCCAGTCTATTCACTTCCCCAAGGATGTTTAAAAACAAATCTAATCTTATCACTCATCTATTTAAAGCCACTTGCTAAAGGCCTCCCCTGCATCTCGGTTGAAGTTCAGCTCCATCCCTGCCACCCACCCCACACAGTTTCTTGTCACCTGGATCAGGAGCCCTGTAGTCCCCATGCCTTTGGCACACTGTGCCCTCTCTACAAAACACCCTTCCAAGCCCAGGCACCGGCTGATTCCGGCTTATCTTTCAGCATTCAGTACTCATGCTCCCTCCTCAAAGGTGCCCCCAACCATGGCTGTCTGGCCTCAGAGTCCCTCCCTGGGATCCAGCCATGGGCCTGTCTCTTCTTCCAGACTGAGAATATCCCAAGTGCAGGGCCAAGTCTTGTTCGTCCCTGGACCTTCAGCATGTGGCACAGGCCAGGTACATGGTAGATGCTCACTAAATGTTCAGAGAATTAAACGAGCAACTGAAAGCATGAATGAATAAAATGAGATTCCCACTCAACCTCAAACTTCTCACACAGGGGCAGACAGCAAAGAGATCCTTCTACAGCCAAAATCAGGAAGAGGAACGAGGTCATGGAGGGCCTGCTGTGGTCTGAATATGTCCCCCAAAAATTCACATGTTGAAACTTAATCACCAATGTGATAGTATTAAGAAGTGGGGCCTTTAAGAGGGGATTAAGTCATGAGGGCTAATGGGATTAGTGCCCTTATATAAAAGGTTGAAGGGAGCTGCCTTGTGAGGACACAGCAAGAAGGCACCTCTTTGAAGAAGAGAGCAATCCTTCACCAGACTCTGAATCTGCCAGCACCTTGATCTTGGCCTCCCCAGTCTCTGGAACTGTGAGCAATAAATTTCTGTTATTTATAAATTAACCAGTCTAAGGTATTACATTACAGCAGCACAAACAAAGACAGGGCCCATGAACCAGGTGAGGATTTTGGCAGGCTGGGGGCCCGGCCTGGGCTCTGCACAAAGGCAGTAGAGCCCAAAGCCAAGTCTGTGAACAATTTGTCAGATGCAGGAAACAGCAGGGGTTGGTAAGGCCAGCCTAGCCCCTGGGACTGGGGTGAAGCAGCGGAGATCCTCTGAGCAAATGAGGGCAGGAAGGATTCCCATTGGGAGGCTCTCAGGCCACATGCCGCCTTCAAGGCCGACCGTGCTGAGAAGACACTTTCTAGGGGACAAGAGGTGTAGGAAACAAAAGCAGGCCACACTGTAGAGGGCCCTGAGGAAGGAAGTCAGAGGATACCTACTGTAGGATGACATGAGGAAGCCCGTGTTCACCTTCCTGGTGGTGCTGAAGTTGGGCTCAACTTCATTTCCCTTGGAGTCAAATTTGCGGCGATGGATACGACTGGGTTGGATATACAGCACGTAGTAGCGCTCCTGGGGCCAGGCAGACAGAGAGTGATAGGCTGCTTCACTGCCCCCCAACACACACACTCTGGGCTCTGGCTGCAGTCCTCGCCAACCTCACCCTGTAACCAGGAACCCCACTCCTGCTCTGAAAGATGTTCAAGCTGAGTAGAAGCCTCCACTCAAATATCCATTCTCTCATGTGTTCACTAGAGCACCTGCCACACGTAATGAGCTGCGCTAGAAGTCCATGATGGGGCGAGCATAGGCCGAACCCCAAGGCTTCTGCATAGCCAGAGGCAGCAAGCATGCACAGAAAACTGTAACCCAAGCACTGAGGACCCTAAATCCCATAAAGCAGGAGTGGACGCTGCCAAGGTGCCATGGAAAAGGCACCAAAAGGGAGCCCTGAGTGAGGGCAGCCAATCTGCTCCTTCCATCAGATGTAGGACCTGGAGCAAATCACTCCTAGCCTTTTGAGCCTTTTGTTCCCCTGTCACACAGGGACAATGTGATGATGACTACTCTCAGGAATGCTGTAAGGATTCAATGAGGAACTCTAGGAGCAAGCGCGGTACAAAGCACGAAGCGTGCTGTAAACGCTGTTCGCCAGCTATTCTGATAAAGCAGGCGACGATGGCTCCCAGGGATTGCAGAAGAGAAGACAACAGGAAGGCAAACCTGCAACTGTGGGAATAAAGGTGTAGGGAGAATATTAAAATCCTGAGACAGGTAGGATGGCCGGTTATATCAGTTGCTTAGAGCACGTGGTATTATAACATCAAGGTCAAGTGTTCAGATCCCCATATCTGCCAGCTGCCAAAAAAAGCCTGGGACAGGTACATAAAATAAAGCCAAGAGGCCCAGGAGCACATTTGATCAACTCGGGGCACACGAAGACCTTGTGGGAGCTCAGGCTGGAAAAGCAAGTCGGATCAATTTGGGACAGGCCTTAAATTGGTGTTTGGAGTTTGGGTTTTACGTGGTAGATGAGAAGGAATCCGGAAAGGTTTCTGAACAACAGTGAGACCCTCAGAGATGTCTTTCCAGAAACACGTTAGCAGCAGGCCAAGGGTGAGCTTTGAGGGCAGCCAGAAGGCACAGGGGTAAGTGCAAGGTTTTATCAGGACAGACTGGGGGCCCCTCTGAGGTGAGTGGACATGGAAACAGGACAGGAAGGGAGGGAAGGGAAGGACCAGCCGAGGTAGGAGTCCAGCAGGACTGGCATTACTTACCTGCGGCGGGGAGGGCAGGAGGAGGAGATAGTAGGGGTTTGCAAGTGGGTGGCTGGGAAGAACACTGCACTACAACCAGGAATAAGGAACTCAGAGGAGGCAAGTTTGGAGAGCAGCTGAGAGAACACTCTGCCTGTCCGAGCGCAACCGAGGCAGGCCAGCCTCCCATCAGCATGGGGATACTTCTGGGGGCTCAGGATTGCTGTACCCACCCGCTGACTTGAGTACTAAGGAGGTGAGGATGCAGCAAAGCATCTCTTGGCATGAAAATAGTGAGCTGGGGACTGAGGCTGTTCCCATGGGGTGTAGGCTCCATGTAGCACCAGGCCTCTGGCTACCCTCTCAAGAGGGCATTTTGATAAGTTCAGTTTCAGAGACCAAAGAGATAAGGCGGTCAGCACATCTAGGTGGGGCTATTTGAAAGGGGGGTAGAAATTCAACGCTAGTGCTCAAAAAAGAGACTCAGGCTAGTATAGGATGGTGAATGCCAGGTGTGTCTGAGAACACCTGAGATGGGGTGGTAATAAAGAGCATGACCCCAGGAGGCTGAGAGGGCAAAGGTAGATGGGGCATGGACACAGGAACTGGAGCCCCAGACAATGTCAGCAACATAGACTTCACGTGCAGGCTATGTTGGGTTTAGGGCCTGGTCATCTCTCAGCTATGACTCAGGCTCTTTTGGCAAGAGCCCTCCCACCTGTGCTACCCAGCACAGCCCTAACTGTTCCCTTTCCACTCAGTGGTCCCGTGTGGCTGCTCATCTCCCGGCCCACTTCCCACCTGCTCTGTGAGCCCATCAAGGAAGAAGCTGGATCCCGAGTCTGGGCACTGGCAGAGCCCAACACAAGGAGATGCCTTGGTGGGTAAGGACTGTAAAGCCAGTACCCTCCCTGTGAGTACCACTGAGGAAGTATCGTCACCTTCCTGCCATGGGCGTCCAGGATGCTGTGCCGAGATACATCGACCAGTTCTCCCTCCAGCAGGATGCCGTTTCCCCTGCGGATGAGAAGGAAAGAAGGGATGGCTGGATCTGTCAGTCCTCAGGAAAGAGTCAGCACTTAGAGAGAAGGAAGTCCCACCCGTTCCTCCTATTCGCCTGGCCCTGAGCAGCTTCTCTGTGCTTCCCATGTCAACACATCCATCCCTCCAATGGCCCCCCAAGGCTGGGGCACTGCCCAGAGGGTGGGAGGAACCTTGTCAGGCTGCCCTAAGACCAAGCTATGACCCCCTCCTGCAGAGCCACTGGGAGTTACTGTAACTAGAGCCTATGTCTTCTTATCTACAAAATGGAGAGAAATATAGCCACCATTATCTGCTCCTCGGATGATGATGTAAGATCATGTACGTGAAGGAGTTTTGTAAATTATTAAGTGTTTACTAAAAAATTTTACTTTTCTATTTAACCAAACGGGAGGGGTGTAAACTGCTATAAATTATCTTCTCCTTTCACCTGTTTCAAAACACTTTTATATTACTGTTCTCGTTCATAACCATGTGGTCATCAACCAAAGGAAATGATTATTTGCCAGTTTAGAGGTAGAGAAACTGACACTCAGAAGTTTTGTGACTAACCCAAGATCACAGGGTCTGATCACGGAGGAACTGGACCCCAGCTACCTTATTCAAATTTTCATAAAAGCAGAACCTGGGGGCCTCCTTTATAGGAACTGCAGAAATGGGAGAGAGGTGGGGACAGCTGAAGATGATAGTGGAAGTGGGCTGCTGGGGCAGGGGGCAAAAACTTGACACCTCCCCCGACCTTAGGAGCTTCTATCCACCCCCCCCAAATTCTTTGTTTAAAAAAATTTAACTGACAAATAAAGATTGTATATATTCTAGGTATACACCGAGATGAGCTGACATACGTATATATTACATAATGATTATCATAATCAGGTTAACACATCCAACACCACCCAAGTGGTAAATTAGATCCCCAGGACTTGTTCTTCTTACAACTTAAAGTTTGTGCCCATTGACCATCTCCCCATTTCCCCCATCGCCCCAGCCTTCATCCCTTGGCAAGCACCATTCTACTCTGTTTCTATGAGTTTGATTTTTGCAGGTTCCACATATAAGTGAGATCATACAGTATTTGTCTCTCTGTGTCTGGCTTATTTCACTTCGCACAATTCTTTAGTGTTTGCAATTGCAAATGGATGGTCCGTTCGTTCTCATAACCTTGTGACAGCAGGGCCTGGCCCTCTGGATCTTCCACTTGTGACAGCAGGGCCTGGCCCTCTGGATCTTCCACTTGTGACAGCAGGGCCTGGCCCTCTGGATCTTCCACACCGGCCCCAGGCAGGCCCTGCCCTCGCCCAGCCCGATCAAGCCAACTCCCAGCCGCTGTTATGGCCACCGTCCTTCCTGGGGCAGGGCACAAGCCTGTGCAAAGGCCGGGAGGCACCACAGCCTCAGGAGTGGGGTTTTTAGTCACCGGGGTGGGGTAGGAACAGAAGGCGGCGTGAGCCGAGGCACGGCCCTCGGAGAACCATCTGGGAGTCGGGATCCTCTCCCGGGGGTCCGCCGGCAGACGGGGACTTTAAAGCAGATCTGTGTCTTAGGGGTGCGCGGCGGCCGGCGGCGCAGGGAGGAGCGGACTGGAGGCCGCAGAGGCGGCTTTGGCAACCCCGGTTTTGCTTCCCACCCGCGTCCCCCCACCCCGCGCCGCCCCAATCTTGCGGCTGGGTTCAGAGCCGCGGCGGGGGAGGCCGACCGAGGCCGGCGAGCCCAGGCCCGCTGGGGGGCGCGGCGGAGCCTACCCCTGGTGGGCGGCGGGGTCCCAGGACCCGGGCAGCCGCGCGCTCTGCACCGCCTTGTTCCGGAGGGCGCTGTCGCGGTAGATGCGGCTCATTATCCCGACCTCCCAGAGCCGGCGCGCGGGGCAGCGCCTGACGGACGCGCAGACAGCGGCCACTCTCAGCAGACAGATCCCGGAATGGCGCGGCCGGGCTCCAGGCGTTCCCGGGCGGGACTTAAAGGGGCCGAGCGTCATTCCTGCCCGCCGGACCGTGCGCGGCGCGGGGTGGGCTTCCGGGAGGATCCGCCGCTGGGGGCTCGGCACGGGGGGGCGGGGACGGAGGGGCCTCGTTCTCTTCTCTCTCCCTGCTTCCTTGCTACTGGAGAGAGCGCCCTGCCCCAACACACGCACAAAGAGGAAATTGAGGCCCAGACATCCTAGACGATCCGTCTTAGGATCAGCTCTGGAAGGGAAGGTTTCCAGAGAGCAGGAATGGAGAAGAGGAAACAGTGCTTAGGGATGTGGTCAGCACAGAAGCTGCCCGTTATGCCCCTCCCGCGGTCCCACAGTGGCTGAGGGAGGTGTCTCAGGGATCTGTGATGACAGACTCTGGGCTTAGATGACAGATCAACAACATACCGAAGTTTGAATCCCAGCTGTGTGAGCTTGGTGAGTTCCTCAGCCTCTCTGAGCCCTTTGTGCCTGGCAGGTGGGTGCATTCCTGGAGGCCAGGTGTGCCCTTTGGGAGAACTTTCAAAGGGGAGGTGGCCAGGCAGATACCCGGGAGTCCAGAATGAACTGTCAGTGTTGGAGAAAGCACCCTCCCCCACACAGGCACATTATGATTTAGGTGGGTCCTAGCCACTTCCTCCATCAAAAAAATTTTTTCTTATATTTTACCACTGGGTTGGAATAAAGATTAATACTTAATATTATATATCAAAACATTTTCTTCAGCTTAAAATTTTTCTTCTGATTTTAAAAGAAGTTAAAACATTTTCAAGGGCCGCTAAAAGTATTATGGGCCATAGGCATTGTGCCTAATGGATTAGTCTATCCCATCCCGTATCTGGCCTACCTGGCTGCTCAGTTTATGTCCTAGAAGGAAGGATATAGAAAAGCCCTACTGGGAAGCCCCTCTGGGCAGAACTGTCCTTTGGCTCTCTTCTCAAAACTCCCGGGCTGCTCACAGCCACCTGGCTGGCATGTCCCCCTCACTGTGGCTCCAAGTTTGTACTGCTCTCTATGGTAGCCACTAGCCATATATGGCTATTTATATTTAAATTTTAATTAATTAAACATAAATAACATTTAAAATTCAATTCTTCAGTCTCACCTGTCACATTTAAAGTGCTCAATAGCCAAATGTACTTAATGGATACCATTTTGGACAGTGCAGACACAGAACATTTTCACCATTATAGAAAGTTCTATTGGACAGGGCTGCTCTAAATCTTTTTGTAGGAACAGTCGTCTCCTGCCTGTTAGAATCTGCAACTTCACCCCATCAGCACAATCTGCAGAGCAGCCACCAGAAAGGCAGGGGAACCTAAAAAAACAAGAAAAAGGTGTTGTTTCTATTTTAACATTTTGACATTTATTTCCTAAAAAGCGTCAATCATCATGGGGGAGAAAACCAGAATTTTGTTGGACTTTCTTACACCTATTTTGCAGTTTATTAATGTCTCTATACTAAATTATAAACCACAAGTACACCAGAGAGACAGTTTCATCATCTTAGATTAACACCATTCAACATTTGAATCCAGCAACCAACTCCCCTTGCTCTGATTTCATCGTTCACAAACTTCCTTTTTAAATTTTGTTATTATTGTTGTTCTTTTGTTTGTTTTGTCTTATTTTGTTTTGTTTCTTGATGGCTGGCCGGTACAGGGATCATATCCTGGACATTGGTATTATCAGCTAAATTTGGGGGTTTAATTGTTAGTAGAGGCAGATTTATAGCTATAGAAGCTTAAGCTTTGGGCCCCTCAGTTCCATGGGCCTCTTTTATGAATGGCATTAGAGGGACCTTACAATGTGTTCACATGGGCGTATGGTTTCCTAAGGTTTTCATAGGTGAGGCAATTTTGCTTCAGTCAGTTAAGACCACTATCTCTTTTTGCCCAGAATTCTCCTTTTCCTCATGTCAAGTGATGGTGGAGTGGGATATGGGTGCAGGGAAATTGACATGGTATACATTTAGTTTGGGTTTAGTGGAATAGATTTATGTGTTCTAGTCTTTTCCACCAATAAGTAAGTTACTGCCTGCCATCCCAGTGTAGGACTACCCTCCCACCCTCTGTGCTGACAACATGAAGGAGCAGGGCCAGAGTCACATCACAGCAGAAACATGCCCTACAATGTCTGGCGCTGAGTTGTGGTAATGCAGAAGGAACAAGGTGTATACCATACAGAACTACAAGCTGGCGTGTAGAGAATTCTTCCAGTCATCAGACAGGTAAAATTGTAAGTGCAGGATTTGGTGTTCAATAACCCTAATCAAAACCGAAGTTCTCTCAGGAATCTTCTTGCTAAAACTGTGCATATAATTACAAATGCACCAAAATTTTTTCCCTTTCTTTTGATGGACACTGAGCAAAATAGAATTTATCAGGATTACTGCATAGGACACAAATGTGTAGCAGCAAAACATAAGGAGTGCATTTATGCGTGGAGTCTTGGGTTTTATACATGTGAATACATCTTAGCATATCTGACACATCTTATCCTGGCAAAGTCTGGTGGTTCTAGAAGAAATAGCGTGCCAAATTGCTATTGCGTTGAAATAGCCTGAAGAAAACACATACACACTACAGAGCAAAAGATACAAAACAAAGGAAGCACTCAAGAGAGAAAGCATAACATAAAATAAGATGCCGGAATGAGGACCAAACCTATCCATCACACTACGTCAATAAATGCAAATAGAGTGAGCCTCCTTTGGAAAGAAAATCTATGATATGCCTTTAGATCAGACATCTCTTAATGCCACATCAGAGCCTAGTAAAAATACCAGAAGAAAACATTTTTTTAAAAAAGTTTAATAATCTCGGTAGGGGATGGCTTTTCTTTAGAAAACTTAAAGTCTCAGCCGTAAAAGAAAACACTGACGAATTTGGCTCCATAAATTTTAGAAATTTTGCACTGATACATCAGTAAGGACAGGGAGCACTATTTTAGATTGATAAATGGCTTGTAGACATGTTAAAATACCTCAACCTCATTCCATGGTTTTCATTTGCATTTCTTGAATTATGAATGAGGTGGAGCATCTTTTAACATGTTCTATAAACCATTTATTTTTTCTATGAGAGCTGATCATTCCTTTCACCCATATCACTCCTCTCACCTCCAATTTGGTAAGGATCAAAACATAATAATAAATATTTGGCTAATAAATATTTGACTACAGCATGGATAAACGTACACCTATATACATTTCTGGGGAAAGTGTGTGTGTGAATTGGTGCAACTTTTTTGAAAGGACATTTGACAAGGTCTATTAAAATTACAAACACGCATGGCTTTTGACTCAGCAATTCTACTTCTAGGAGTAGAAATATTTGTGTGTGAAATGACGTATGTGAGCATTGCTTGAAATAGCAGAATACTGGAAATATCCTAAGTGTTCATCAATGGGGGACTAGCTAAATTTTGAAATTTCAATTCAAGAAAATGATATGTAGCCTTAAAAAAAAGAATAAAGCATATATATACAAAACATACACATATATATGTGTATGTGTGCATACGTATGCACAATATTGAACTGTTTCACTTATTATTAAATGAAGACAGTATTGTTGAGTGAAAACAGTAAGTACAGTACAGTGTACCCAGCAGTCACCTAAATATTAATTGAGGACTTCCTCTCTGCCAGGAACTGTCCCAGGTGCTGGAGATATACAGGTGAATGAAACACTAGATCCAATCTGTCATGAAGCTGACATCCGATAGAGGAGAGAAGCAATGAGCAAATAAAACAACCCAGAAATGAGTGAATTACAGAGAGTGGTAGGTGCTCTGAAGGAAACTACAAAGGATGTGACAGATTGGGCTGCACCCAATGAACAGGTGGTCAGGGAAGACTTCTCTAGGAGGTGTCGTGTGAGTTGAGGCAGCAGGGTGTGCAAGAACAGAGGTCCACAGGCAGGAATGAGCCTAGTGTTGAAGGGCATTGTGGTGTGGCCATCACGTTGGAGTGCAGTGACTGGTGGGGCGGGCAGCATGGATGCGGTCTGAGTGGTAGGCAAGGCTCAGAATTTGTATTTAATTCTAAAAACATGTTCTTGATGTATAAAAAACAAGGGATATATTTGTGCATAAGTGCATTTCTTCTTGCATGTGTGCTTGTTTGTTACATAATATTATTTCTGGAAAGAGAAACAAGAAATTGATCATAGTGGCTGCCTCAAGGGTACTGGCCTCTGGGGCAGGAAGGAGACTTATGTTCATAGTGTAGTTTTTTATGCTATTTGATATTTTTACCATGTACATGCATTACTTTTTCAATTAAAAACTAGTCAATTTTTAAAATGTGAAAACATCTTAATATTCAATCTCAGTTTTAATCAGAGAAATGCAAATTAAAACATCAGGGAAATAAGAGTTTTTTAAGGAAGGATTTAAAAACTCATAAAGCTCATAGTTGATGAGGATGTGTTGAGCCATGTATTGTTTGCATATTTTATTTGTTGGAATGAGCATTGGTAAACCCTTCCTGGGGACCATTTGACTGTTTTGGTATCAAAGGCCTTCACTTTTTTAGTATATCCTTGCCTCAACTATTCCATGTTCATGAATTTCCCCAAAGGAAAGAATCAAGGACAGGTGCAAAGATTAAGTTACAAGAATATTCATCCCAGCATAATAATAGAAAAACTATAGAAACAACTTAAATTCTAACAACAGTCATTTTTTAAAAATAAACTACATATATTCATACAATAGAATTGTATGACTGTACTTTAAATGCTGTTAGAGAATATTTAACGACATGCAAAATCGTTATCAATTTAACATTAGCTGAAAAACAAAGTCACTAAAAAGAAAGTTCCATATTCCAGCTGTAGCACATACACACACATATATGAAATCTGCAAAAATGTTAACAATAGTTAATAAATCATGGGTGATTTATAGTCTCTTTCTTTTTTTTTTTTTTTAAGATGACTGGTAAGGGAATCTTAACCCTTGACTTGGTGTTGTCAGCACCACGCTCTCC